GGGGGGCTGAGGACAGAAGACCCCCGGTGTGGGGGGCGCAAACCTGGCGCTCGTCACCCCCCGGATGCCACGAGGGTCCCCGGGGCCCCCGCGCCGCCCGTGCCCATGTGTCACCGTGCCCATGTGTCACCGGGCCCATGTGTCACCAGGCCCATGTGTCAGCGCCCCGTTGGCAGCGGCGGCGGCCGCCCGAAATAGCCGGCGCCGGCGCCGGGCTGGGATATAAGGGGCAGGCCGGGGGAGGCGGGCGGCAGCGCCATGTGGGGGGCCAGCACGGTGCTCAAGAGCGGGGGGCTCGTGGCGGGCGCCCGCCTGGGCTGCCGCCTGCGCGAGGAGGACGCCGGGCGCCGCGAGACCTTCAGCGCCGAGTGGCTCGACCTGGAGCTCAGCACCCGGCCCCAGGACGGGTGAGCGCCGGGGCGGGGGGCGCCGGGGGTGTCAGGGGGGCTGTGGGGCAGGGAAGGGCCCCACAGCCCCACGGAGGATGGGGGGGGTCTATGTGGGTGCCCATGGGTGGTTGTAGGAGGGAAGGGGGCTTGGGGACAGGGTGGGGATGGGCGGGGGGCTTGGGGTCCCCAGGGGATGGGGGGGTCCCCGTGGGACAGGGTGGGGATGGGGGGTGTCTCTGGGGTCCCTGGGTACAGGGTGGGGATAGGGGGTCCCCATGGGCTGGTAAGGGATGGTGGGGGGTCTCGGGGGTCCCCACGGGAGAGTGTGGGGATGGGGACTCCGCACGGGCTGTGGAGGGATGGGGAAGTCTCTGGGGTCCCCAGGGGACCGGGTGGGAATGGGGGGTCCCCATGGGCTGGGCAGGTCCTTGTGGGGCTGCAGGTTCCCCGTGGGGCAACACGGGATACGGGGGACACCCAATCCGGACACCGTGTGAACAGGGGGGTCCCGCGGAGCCCCCCCCTCATCGGGCGCCCCCGCAGGTGGTGCCGGCGGGAGGTGGACGAGCGGCGCCGGGAGACGCTGGAGCAGCGCGGGGAGACGCGGCTGCTGGAGCAGCGCTCGCCCTGGGGGCTGCTGCGCGCGGGGCGCCTGGGGCA